GTCCTATATGTGCGGCTCTCGTGAAAAAAATAGTGAAGATCACTGACTTAGAATATACAGAGGCGGCAGCCAATGAGTGTAAGGATTCTCTTTAATGTTTTAGTAAAACACTGCGTTTTACATTCGGCAAAATACCCTGAGGGGGCAACACACACCTTGCATAATAAAAACCCTTTTAATATAAAACTACAAGTCTTCAGTCTTCATCTCATTTGAATATACACCACTCAGGTGACTCAAAAAAATGCTTCTTAATGTATTTTTTAGCACCATACTACTAAATGCACCTTTAAACACATTCTATAGATTAAGCTAAAGTTTGAAGCACATGCCATCAATTGGCAGTCATCTAGGAGGCCTCATGTAGCAAGTCTTGTGAGTTGCGGCATAAAGTCTGGTTGTTGTTGCAGCTTGTTCTGGTCAACAACTCAGACAGGAAGAGACTGTCTAACCAACATAACAGAAACTAATCTGGGGTGAATTTCCCAAAAGCATCGTTAGCCAACTATGGTCACAATTTCTGTTGTTACCAACATGATTCAACGATTTGGTGTTTCCCGAAACCATAGTTCAAACGAACATTTGCAAACAGCGCCGCAAACTTGCGTGGTTGGAACTACAGCTCTCGACCTGTGGTTAGAAGCATAGTTTCTTGTTAGTAAGACATATGGGCTTAAGTAAATTATGCTCTTGGGCACAATAAGCAAGCTAACATGCAGTACAATCTATATCTTCCATTCTATTTAAATATAAATGGATTTTAATGTATTTTTGCGTGTCCTAAATAAGTGCAGTTTTTGAAGAGTGCACATGTGCATAAATACCTAAGGGAACCCCAGAGTATAACGTAAGATGGAACCCATGATGAATCAAACATCAAATAAAGCAAAATGACAGGGAACAAAAAATATTAAATTAGTCATCAGGTGCCATGTTTGATACAGCAGCATCTTAGAGATATCTAATCAGTTAAATTCTGCATGAAATCAAAATTGACTTTATTTACTTTATTAGCGCACATTGCTAGTCTTGATGTGAAAAATTAATCCATGCAAGTTAATCTGCTGAAAAAATAATGTCTGTTTTGGCAATTTTTAATCAAAATTGGCGTCTTGGGCAGAATATCCTTAAACATACCCCTCCAACTGTTAGGTTGCTATGAGTGAGAGACAGAGCACAACAATAAAACCATGCCCTCTATTCAATATTCCGTTTCAGCTGAAAATACGTCACTACACTGAAATAAACTCGGCAGCAACTTTTGGTTCAAGCGGACTTTAAATGATGTTTCATTAACAAGGTTTGGGAGGAGCACAATCAGATAATCAATCAATTCGGCACAGGTGGAGCTCGTTAGTTAATCACCTTAACTAGCACAATGCGTATATACAGTATCTCACAGAAGTGAGTACACCCCTCACATTTTTGTAAATATGTATATATACACATATATATATATATATATATATATATACATACAGCCAACTTACCTCTGTCACACGACAGTTTTCCAGCATTAGTCGTCAGCTACTATGTCCAAAGTAGAACCGTTTCCTTCCGATCACAAGCTAGCTGCTCCAACTCAAGCCACTGGCTCGAAGACGCCGTCTTCTCAAGCCAACGGCTCTAAGGCACTTGCCTCGCAAACCACCGGTGCAAAAGCGCCACCTTCTCGGCCAAGTGACACCGCCGAGCCCCGGGCCTCAGCGCACGGACGCCGGCCTGCAAGATCAACCGCTCACACACCGAGTCATCGAAGACTTCGTTCACCTCCACCATCAAGACAACCAGCGCCATCCTCATTATCATCTTACACCTCTGCTTCACCGTCCTTTACTCCCATAGGAAAATGGACCGTGGCAGGTTTGACACAAGCTCTGACTAATTCAGACGTCTGGTTTTCCCGACGGATGAGTAAAGCCGAGATCTACAGTCTATACATCTCGCTGGAACACACTAACACTTTCAAAGACCAGTAGAGCCTATAAGAATAAAAGCTCTCATTTCTCTGGCACGTCATCTTCATCCAGGTCCAGCTCCAGCTCCCCACGAACGAAGAGAAACAGCAGGCCATCAGCAAGCCGGGGCCACGCCCCAGACTCTGCCCTTCCAGATCCTGTACCGCCTCACCCCTCAGCTCAACCAGATGCCGCAGCTCCTTCAGGCACAGCGCTTCCCGCTGCATCACACGCTAATTTTCCCAATCACACCTTTTCTACCCTTCCTGCTTCTTTTAATCTAGCTCCGGCGGCAGACGCTAGCGTGAGGATGCCTCCACTAGCTGCTCAAGCCCAGCTACCCTACCACTTTCCTTCTGCAACCTCTGCTCCCCTTTTCTCTCAGTGGCCTGCAGCCCCCTCGTAGATGCCGACTCAGGACAAAACCAGCCAGCGATGCAAGCTAACAGGCCTCCTCCCTCATTTCCTTCGACTTCTTCTTACTCCCTACCTCAAGCTCCAGGGGCTAGTGTAAGCGTAAGGCTGCCTCCGCATTCAGTCACGGCCCCCATTTCCCTCCCTTCTAGCTTTGTTCTCCATTCTAAAACTCAGTTCACTTTACTATCTGCTACATCGCTTCCTGCCCCACTGAATGCCGTCGCTTCAGAACCAACCCTGGTGACCCACAACATCAGGTCTCAGATCCTCGCAGGTGCAGACATCGATCTCTCATCTCTGCCTTCTCTCCTCTCCCTCGCCGAATCCAATCATCAAATAGATTGCAGGAATTTCTCCGTTACTCTTAAAAACCCTGCTCCTAACTCATCTCGCATCCTCTCACTCTCCGAATCGCTTTCAGCCGCTACACGGATGTAATTTGCTCAGATTTTCCCCATAGACGGTGCAAACTCAACGATTATCTGGCCATAGTCGCAGAACTCACGCTGTCCTACGGAGGAGGTCACTTCTACACATACCACAAATTATTCTCGGCTAAATGTGCGGTTCACGTGGCCCAGTGGAATCAATGCCCCTACTGGGGCTCGCTGGACCCTGATCTCCACAGCAGAGTGTTTTTAGGATGTCGTAACATAACATGCACACTCTGCAGGTCGCTAGCCCACTCCACAACTTCTTGCCCTCAAGTTAATCCCGCTATCCCTGCCTGCCCAGAAACAGCCCAACCCAAATCCACCAGCTACATTCCACACTCTGCAACCATTAATGCAGATCAGGACTCTAAGGGAGAATCAAACCCTCCCTTCTCGGTCGCTGGATAGGTCTGTCACAATTTCAACGGGCGGAAATGCAGTAGAAAACGTTGTAAGTTTCTTACTGCCCGTCTGGTATGCCCAGTATACAAAAAAAAAAAAACGATCAACTCCAGTAAATATTTTTCGGATATCCACAGAATTATCCCACCACCCAGACACTAACTTCACTAATTATCTACTTTCTGATCTCGAAGCAGGTTTTAATCCCAGCGTCATATGCCCTCTCTCCCAGAACATAATTTGCGACAATCTCCAATCTGCACTTGCAGAACCGGACATAGTGATTAATCTGGTCAAAAAAGAAATTGAATCCGGTTTCATGATAGGTCCTTTTGATGTGCCCCCTTTCGAGTTTTTTCACATCAGCCCCATTGGCGTAGCCACTAGGAAATTTTCAGGGAAAAAAAGCTTGATTATCGATCTACTGTATCAGCTCCACGTACTTCCCTATTTTCCAGCATAAACAGCCTCATTCCCCTTGAGGAATATTTCTTGCACTACCACGATATAGATCAAGCGATCACCATGCTAAAAAATGTAGGTCGTGCTGCATGGCTGGCCAAAGTAGACATCACTTCTGCTTTCAAGGTGATGCCTATCCACCCAGACTCTTGGCATCTATTCGGGATTCGCTGGCAAGGGAAACTATATTTCTCAGTACGCCTAACTTTTGGATGCAAAAGCAGCCCCCAAATTTTCGATACGTTATCAGATACGTTGCTGTATTATCTCTAACAATTACTCCATTCACCTGCTCGACGATTTCCTAATAATCTCACCTCCCGATGCTATCCCAGCCGCAAATATCTTGACGGTCCAAAAAGTTTTCGCCGAGCTGGGGATTACCATCGGCTGCCATAGAACCCCATTGGACGAGAATAATAATAATAATAATAATAATAATAATAAAACATACAGATACAATAGGGGCTACATCCCTTCTGGCTTGGCCCCTAATAAAAATCACTTAAATTTATCATTCTCTTAATTTTGGATGAAAATAATATGCTATTGGTCCTAGAAAAGTTTGATATGTGCTCCGAACCACTGTTTCGAAACATATGATTCGCAAAGGTTTTCGAAGCTTCGAACCACTGTTTCGAAACATATAATTCGCAAAGGTTTTCGAAGCTTCAAGAAGCAGCGTTTCAAAAGCAGCCATCACTACCGCCATGATGGATTTTATCTTCCGTTTGGGGGTCTCTAATCTTCCAGTCTCCAAAGAAATCCATATTAAAATGGTGTAAAAATATCGAATGAATTAAATAAACAGAAACTTTTTCAATATAACTAAATGCAAAAACGTGCGCAAGGTTAAGCTGTGCTGTTGTTGGCTGCCACAGTATCAGCAACAAGCTTAAGGAATTCCTGTAAAGTACTTGTACCAGCAAATCTGTCTGTGTCCAGTGCTGTATGCCTTTCATAAATGATGACAAAAAAACGAGGACAGCTTGCACCGCTTAAATTAAAATCCTGTGCGTGAAATAATAAAATAAAACGTTAAAATAATGTGTGCTCATATCATTTTGTGGACAAAATCCCCCAAACAGGGGATTTTTGCCCCGATTGGGAGCTGAATGTATGCTGTGTGTCTTATCTGTTTTCAGTGCAGCTAAACTTAGGTTGCTTCATGCCATCTTCCAACTCATTAAACTATGACAGGTGAGTTATTGCAAATAACATTGTGACACACTAAAGTAATTAAACTATGGTGCCATGTGATTTTTTCATACCATTTTCATAGGTTTAACATTATATTATCAGATCGAAAAATACGTTAATTTGACTAAAAACACCAGAGACCGGAACGTAAGAAGTATAATTGTTGTCCATGTAATTTTTCCATGGCCATGGAGGAGAATCAGAGATTGTGGGTTAATGAATACACTGCACTTTTTATATTTACTTCAACAAATCCCTAGGAGCTTGTGAATAGTAGCATTTTAAAATGCTGGCTTAATGTACTTAGACAGTTATGCTAAAAGACATGCAGTTGAGCCCAGAATATTAATGCAACACGTTTAATTACACATTAAGCGTTTTCCTCCCTTTAGAAAACCATAATATAGAAAACGCTTAACATGGCATATGCATTAAAACAGACAGTACATTTAAAGTTCACATTTTGAGCTCATCTGTTTTTCTGCACATAGTATGCTTTTTATGTTTACAGAATGTGGTCTTTTAATATCACTGTTTCAGTGCATTAAGCATTTTCTTTATATGAGGGGAAAACGCTTAACGTGTAAATAAACACATTGCGTTCACATTTTGGTCTCTTATGCATATCTGCACAAAATATGCTGTCTTGGAACATTAAGCATTGTTTGTGTTAAGCATTTTCGAATGTCCCTGTGCAAGTTCTGCTAATTCACATGCCGAGTGAAATTCATAATCGCAAAGGTAATGTTAATTTTTTAACCAAACAAATCAAAACTTTCAAAAACACAGCAATCTGATTATTTTATTGAGTGATAGGCAGTGGGTTTAATCAGTGACATTATTAATAGATTTACTATCCAGTGTCATCTCATCATCTCCACAACCTGCTTCCCTTTGTGTTTTTACACACAGAAAAGGTGAAACATATTACATAAAAACCATATTGCATTGTCCATTTTTCTCTCAGAACGATGATCTGACTTACTATTGCAGTTCTCGATGCAGCATGAATGGCATACAATGGTTACATTTTTCACAATCACAACAGAAAATCAAATACTGCCCTAAACTCAATAGCGGAAAGGCAGAGTGATCCTCCCAATATGGTGGATAAACAAAGCAGTTTCCCAGAATTCAGTGTGGCGTGACGTCAGCTTTACAATTTCTATCCACCTTGTATTTCAACAGAGAAATAAGCAGTTTAAGAATGTGCGAGACTCATTAGCCACTGTAGGGAAATAACAGCAAAGTGCGGTAAATGGTAAAACTGTTTGCACTACTAACCAGCCTGTTCATAATTATAGATAATACATTAAAATAATGTACACCAGTTTGCAATATCAAGCAGCAAACAAGCTGTTTTTTACAGCTAAAAATAGCCGGAAGCAGATGAAGCCAGACACATAAATTTAAAAATGGCCACGCCTACTCTAATGGGAACAATAAAATGGATACGCTGTAAAAAATTGCTGTAGATATTACATGGTGGGCTGTTTTTCTAATAATACAGCAAATTGCTGCAAACTGCAAAGCATTCTGGGTTCTGGCGGTTTGACACAAATGTACAGAATATTGCTGTAAATTTCAAATCTGCAGAGATTCAGGAGCGACAAGAGGAGAGATTCACAACTGTAGTTAATGACTTATTTCAGTTTATTTATTTTTATTATAATTGAAATCAGTACACAAAGTCAGATCAAACTATGGTAAAATTTTTGTTTTGGCTCTCCTGTAAAGTTGGTGAAATGTCACTTACGCCTTTCTGGTACTCACCCCTCGATTTGGTCTTGGCGGAATAGATCTGCTACGCTGCTGCTGGTTATTGCTGTAGTTGTAGTTTATTGCTGCTGCTGAAAGCAAGTATGGGTACTTTCTACTGCCAATGCATATGGCGATACAGTGCTGTGAGCATTTAAGACATACTGCACAAATAGCATATAAAATAACCCGTAGCAGATCTATACAGGTGGAGCTGGGGAAGGTGGTGGGTTTCAGAGGAACTCTGAAAGCGCGCTGCAAATGCTCAAGTGAATGCTAACCAGCCATTTAAATGCAAAGTAGCAAGCTCATTGGCTACGTATGCAACATGAACCAATCAGCTTGTGCCAAGTCGTTTAACGCTGTGAATATCATCAGTTACGTTAATACCCGTCAGCCTGCACCATCTAGAGTTTCATGACTGAACTATATATATATATATATATCATGTTTGGTAACTGTTGTAGTATATGAATGTATCTACATTTGCGGTTCATATTGGTAATCTCGGATTTAAGTATCCGCGGTCCACGGGGTGCAAAGGAGACTTGTGTGGGGTTTGAGCAGCGGGGTCGCGGTATGATTTTACACATCCCCCGCCGTTATAGCGGCTATGGGCAAAAACAATCTCTGGGTTATAAGGTAAGAATTACATGCCTTAATGACAACATTTGGGATTCACAAGAACTTCATTTTGATCAGCACACTTGGTCATTATTATAAAATTTATGTAAATAAATTTTGCAACAGGCAGTCATCTGTTAACATGGTGCCAAAATGAAAACGCTCTGTCAAAGCCTGGCGGTTGCCTCTCACGGAGGATGTGTGTGTCATTAAATTTCTGAACAGTGCTGTTTAAGCGGTTAAAGTACAGCAAGATGTGTATTTGAGGACCTTTGTTAAAGGTAAGGTGAACACTTTAACATCTCAGTTTGATATAAAGTCTGTCTTGCATAGTGAATTTATTACCATATAGCACAATCTAATATATTTTTGTATTTGCAGTTAAATATGCTATTTATAGATATTTGTGTTTATGCTTATATGTCAAGCAAACCATGCATATCTTGGAGGGCCGTGGTTTGTACTACTGTAGGATGCAATCGGATACACTTGATCATGCATGACGCTGACCAATAAACAAACGAGTTGACTTATTGTAGCTGTAGAATTTTTTTTTTCTTGAGATTTATTGCGCTTTTGAGTCTACACTTGTCTCAGTTGTCAGCTTGTGTTAGTGCAGTTGAGTTGGGAAGTTGAGAAGGCAGTGCAAGGAATTCCAATCAGCAATAACGGTAATTGACTTATATTTAGGTGGCTAGCTGTTGCATTTTTTAGTTGTAGATTAGTGACTTATGGCAGTAATTTAGTCTTTGACTTAGGGGTGGGTGATATGAGGTAAAATTCATATCACACTATTTTCCATTGTCCAGATAATATTGATATTATATTGCAACGTGACTAAGGCCAGTATTAATTAAATGTAATATTACATAAAATTAAATAAAATATTTAATGAACACAGGAGATAAAGAAAATGAAAATATTTCGCTACATACAAGGTAATAAATTAAGGTAATTACAAA